CTGTAGGTCTGCTCCTCTGGGCCCTGTCTCCAGAGATCATAGTGATTGTCAAACAATGTAAAATGGCACTCACACTTCTTAGGATTTAAATCAACCATTTCAAACTCTCCTTGTTGCAGTAATAAGAACACTGCTTGTATAGTGGAGAGAAAAGCCATGCTGGGTGGCTGCACTTTGTTCTCTGACTCTGAACACTGTGCAGCGAGCGAGTGCCTTTGGACTATTGTGTCTGGACAGAGCCCTTGCCTTGTAAGGAATGCAGCACAGAACATAGCATTTCTGTTATACCACCATTATCATACAAAGAAGAGTTGGTCATGGAGGCCCACACCTGGAATCCCAGTACTCCAGAGGTGGAGGCAGGAGGATCATGAATTTGAAGCTAGCCTGTTTCAAGAAACAAAAACAGAACACACAAGTAAAATGAAGCTGCCTCCTGCATATGCCCAAACACTATGACCATGCTGCCAGCCACTGTGGCTAACAGTACAGTCCTCTCACCAGGGCAAAGAATCCTCCTCCCCAGCAGTCAGTCACCTGAGGAGGATTTGTGGAACACAACTAAAACTGAGTTCAACTGCACTCACATTTCTAGAGTGTTCCCCCTTGCAAGAACCTCTCCTCTCTTGCACTTGGATGAGGCCCTGATCTGAGTTTTCCTTCTTCATTCCTTTGACCCTTCTTTCCATTCTCAAACTGCCAGGATGGATAGACTTGAAGTTTGCTTGAAGCCCAGGCTGTTTATCAACACTGCCCCCTCCACCTTTCAGGAGCTGACTTCCAGCACATTTCCCTTCCAGATTCCAAATGTTGGGCCTGACTGGGCCTATCTTGGCTCTCCTGGCCTCTGTGGTTTTGTCAATGTCCATCCTCAGTTCCCACAATTCTCTTTGGCTTTGTGATCTCCTCTTATTGCTCCCTGTGCCTTCTTCTCCCTAATGACTTCCTCTTGGTGACAGTTAGGGATCAAATTGAAGACCTCACTCTCTTCATTTCTTAGTTCCCCTGGTGACAGAGTAATTTTTTAGTTCTGTTCATGAAAGAATGCATAGCCATCCAGCACTTTGGAACTGACCCTTTTGACACTGGTGATGATGGTCTGTGGACTCACAGTTTATGAAGCAAGGCCATTGAATAGTCACAAAGGCCCTATCTGCCCTGTCTGATGGCCAATCTGTCAACAGAAAGAGTCACCACAAAGCTTTCATGGAAGCCTTATCCCTGAGTTCCAGTTGTCAGGGTTCTCAAAAATTCAGCAGTTGGCCTACAGGTGCCCTAGCAGATGGTCAGATTTTGGCAAGTCTGACTGACACCTCTTAGCTGTGTGGCCTTGATCTATGTCTTTATTTCCTCTAAATGGGGACCAAAGAGGAGTGTTACAAATATTAACTGGACAGTTTGTATGGTGCTGGAACATAGAAGGGCTCAGCAAATGGTGGCTACCACTTAATCAAATTATTAACTTTTCTTGAGACAGACCCTCCCTCTATAGTCCAGAATGGCTTGAACTCATAGCAAACCTCCTGCTTCACCCTCCTGAGTGCTTCGATGACAAGTGTGTACGACCTAGCTTTCTTTTAAAAATTTAAGCACTTACCTCTGAGGTTTTTGCTCCTTCCAAAACACAGCCTAGATGAATGTATTCCATTGCACCATTAAGGATATCCACTTTGCTTGGCTCCCTACTCTGTGGTAGAAATAGCACCAGTGCCTTGAGCTTAGCAAAGCCATGGTTGAGATTTTTTATCTAGAAACCAGAAAGGCACAGTGAGGTCTTGTGACACTGACTCGTGCAGACATCACCAAGTCACAGAAGGAGTGTGAGGGTTTGACTCCTCCACCCTGTGCTGAGGATGACTCTAAGTAGGCAGCAGAGTTGCTGGCAATATACTGAACTGTGAGTGGGTGTGTGCACATTCCCAGATCCCACTCCTCCCCCCTGAAAACACACCCTCCACATTATAACTTAGAGATTTGGGGTGACTGCATAACTGACCAATAACTACCCATTGTGCCAGGATTTAAGCTGACTTCATCTTTTCCACCTTTATGAGAAAGCATGTGGAATACTTATATCACTAAGTCTCAGTGTGCTCATCTGAGGAATGGAAGTATCTTTTTGGTGGTGACTGTATGACAATACATACCTATAGCTCCTCACCCAGGTCCAACACACACCAAGTGGCTCTGCCAAGGATGAATGAAATCTTAAACACTTAAGCACTCAGCTCCCAACCTCTCTCTCATAGCAGTCTTGCCTCAGCCTCCTAAAGACTCAGAGCCAAGAGCAAGCCACTGCATGCTGGGAGACACCAGATTTCCAGTGTCCCCTACCCTGCAGAGTCTACCAGCTTTACTCTGAAGGTGGGAACTCTGAGGCTCCTATTTCTAGAGGACACAGATGGTGGGGAGCTGGTTTCCTCTATTCCACAAAGCTAGTGTGTTCCATTATCTTGAAAGCTCCCTCCCTCCCTCGAACAAAGCAGGCAAAGACACAGCCGAATCACAGAAGTAAATTGCCAGAAAAACCACAAACTGATCAGGTATCTTTTTCGGGTGTTTGTGTGTGTGCACATGCACGTAGAGGCCAAGAGGTTGACATCAGGTGTCTTAATCTCTCTTCACCTTGTCTTTTGAGACAGTGTCTCTCAATGAACCCAAACCTTACTAATTTAGCTAAAACTGGCTGGCCAGCAAGCCCCAAGGGATCTTCCTGTCTCTATCCCCCCAGCACTTGGAGTACAGGTGTGAACTATTGTGCCCAGGTCTATTACGTGGGTTCTGGGGATCAAACTCAGGTCCTCATGCTTGTATAGCAAGCATTTTACCTAAGACTAAGCCATCTCTAGAGCCTTAATTAGGTACAATTTTTTTACGTGCCATGCTGGTAACATTTTTATTTTAGCATGTTCAGCACATGAAAGAGAGAACATTCCTGTACTGAATTAACAGGGTTAAAAATTAGAAACCTTTAAAAAGCAATTAGACAACTTGTACCAAAAGTCCTGAGGCTGAGTACCTCCTATGGCCCAGTAATTCCATGTCTAGTATTTTATTATAAGGCAATTATATATATATTTAATTTATAAGGCAATTATGTAGATGTCTTTACCAGTATAAAGCTACATACATCAGGTTCTCCCAGAAATAAGGGACGCAAAAAAGTTTTCCACTTGAAGCACACACAGTCAAAACCTGTTCTGTGAAGGAACTCTAATAAAGATGAATAAAGGTTTCTGGTAATGTTAGCTGAGGAATATTCCAAAGATACATACTAGATGCTCACAATGCTTTAGAATTATCTACTTAAGCTATCCCTAACTAGAAAAATGTCTGAAAGGACACAAGCAAGAGCATTCCCGGTTATCTGTTAGGAAATTCTCATTCCCTCAGTCATTTCAGTGTTTTCCAGAAGGATTAACTTTCTCATGGTGAAGAACAATAAAACCAAGACTTCATTCTTAGAGAAAGTAATTCCCTCCTGGTACCCAGGGCTACTTAGACTATTGGATCATGGCCTGCTGGAATGACTCAAAGCTGACGACCTGAGTTTGATTTCAGGAACCCATGATGGAAGGAGAGAACTGACTTCCTTGGTTGTCCTCTGACCTCCACAAATGCCATAATACACACATGTCAGTACTTACACATAATAAATGAAAATTTAAAAATATATTGGCTCAGCCAGGTGTGGTGGCATACCTTTGATCCCAGCAATCAGGAGGCAGAGACGGGCAGATCTTTGTGATACTGCAGCTAGTCTGTTCTACACAGTGACTTTCCAGTTAGCGGAGGCTCATAATCTCATTTTAGGGTTACCAATCAATGACTGGTTGTTTTTATAATGCATCCAGTGTCTGATAAAAGCATCATTTCCATTCTTGAGATTTCCTCAACTTGCCTCTATTCTTCTGTCCCACTTGGTCCTAAAACTCAAGAGGTTTAGGAGCAAGTCCTAAGCCTAAAGATGTGCTGCTCTACCTCTTCCACCCCTCACTCTTCCTACTCCAGGGTCACCTTTCCTGAGCCAAATCAAGATTATCCAGGACAACAGGACATCCACCTGGGCTTTCAAGCAATCTCCTTAATTTGGGGCCAAGTTTTGCTGGCGATTCTAAACGCTGTCAGCAGGTGGTATTCCAAACATGCCTACCTTGCTACTCGACGAGGAACTAAGCATGTGCTCATCCTAGGGCATTGGGGCTTGCTACTTTAAGAGGTGGGGGAGGGGCGGGACAGATGGCTTAATGCTTAAAGGTGCTTACAGCACAACCTGACAATGGAACCCACCTAAAGGTGGAAGGAGACTCGGTTCCTTAAAGTTGTCCTCTAACCTCTACAAACACACACACCACACAACAAAAAGGTTTAAGTAGCTTCCTGTATTTGAGGCCAGGGTGCACCAGGCAGGGAAAAGGACTTGACACCTTTAGCACCTAACACCCAACCCTCACCTACAGTGTGAGGCTAAGGCAGAGCTCCTGCACCCTGAGCACCTGTAAAGCACCTGTCCCGTCCCAGGTGCCACGTCTGAAGGTATAAGGGGCTTCCTCTACCCGGCTCTGCTCCTGCTAGACCTGCACAGTACAGGAGGGTCTGTGGGTGAGACAGCCACTCCCACAGCCGTGAACCAGAATCTGCACAGAGGGGAAAAAGGCCACTGGGAACCCAAGGCAGCCTCAGGAAGACAAAGTAGCGGAGGCCGCCAGGTGTGGGGTGGTAAGCACAGGCCAGCACCGTCACGGGAGCGTGGTCACCTGGGACCCTCACCCGCTCACGCTCCTTGACGTTGGCCATGCGCCGTCGCTCCAGCACCAGGTGCAGGGCGTCCATGGACGAGTATCCACCCGAGGGCAGCCGCTTGAGCCGGCAGATGGCCGCTAGTCGGGGCAGAGGTCCGAGCTGCGCCTGCAGCATCTCCTCCAACACCTCGGCCTGCGGAGTGACCAGGAAAAGCTCCGGGAACGCGGACACCGTGTCCATGGTGGCACGTGCAGGCCATGAGCAAGGGCCTTTCACTTATCAAGCCTCAGGGGTGTGATGGGGCGTGGTGTGTGGAGGAGGGTGCCTGCGCTCAGGCTGAGGCCGTGAAAGGATACATGCTCAGGTGGAGGGCTAGCCAGTGGCTAGAGGTTATGGTCAAAGTGTCTCACACTTGGAGCACCAAGTCAGGTGGCACCGGCCTGGGCCAGGGCGGGGAGGACCAGGTGGAAGTCCATACTCAAGGGCTTTACATCTGAGGTTCACAAGACCCAGGCAGGGACAAGAATTGGCGGGGGGCATGAAGGGGAGGTACTGGCACCTGGAAGTTCATGATCAAGAAGTCTTATACACCTGGGCCAGAGTCTGTGGTCAAGCCTGACAACCTGAGTTCATGCTCCAGAACCCACATGCTGGAAGGAAAGAACCAACCTCTGCAAGTTGTCCTGAGACCTTCACTTATGCGTTGTGGCTTGTGAGCACACATTCAAAATAAATGTGTGCCTGGGGCAAGGTGGTCCATGGTGAACAGGCCTTAAACGCCTGCCACACCTTGCACCTCAGGCACAAAACACCTGGCAGTACCCACTGAGGGGCAGGCAGCAAGAATTGAGAATAAGAGGCAGAGGGAAACCAGAGCACCTGGAGGTCTCTGGTAAAGGACCTTACACCTGCCTCGGGTGGGAGCCGGAGACCTAGGCACATAGGAGCCTGATGTGCGGAGGGGCAGGGCCCGCGAAGAGGAGGGCCCACAATGGGTTTAGGTGAATGCAGTAGAGGATTTCTTTTTGAGACAGGGTCTCCCTCTGTCATTCCTGAAACTATTCAGACCAGGCTGGCTTCGAATTCACAGAGATCCACCTGCCTCTGCCACCAGAGTGCTGGGAGGAAAGGTGTGTGTCAACCTTTAATCAAAAGGCCTTGTTGGTAGCAAGCCACCGAGGCCATGGGGCGGGGCAGGGCGACTGCACAGACAATTGGCCTAAGGGACTAACAGCTTTGGCACTAGCAGGCATGGATAGGACGCACTGAGGAGCGAGCCCGCTGATGGTAAAAGCAGGTTCACCCGGAAGTCCGTGGTGGAAGAGCCTTAACCTGCCTGACTGGCCTGCAAGAAAAAATAAAAGGCAGGACCTGTGGAGGGGCGGCCAGTGTGCAAGGGTTTTTAATCACCAAGTTTTATACCTGTCACACCTCCCGTATGCAACAAACAGGGACAAGCAGACAGGTTAAGGCTCTTCCACTGTGGATTTCCTGGTGAAGGCCATGGTTGAGGGGGCTTTACACCTGCCTCGCTTCACTGCAGACACATAGAGGAGTGAAAAGATCCAAAGGTCTTACCCCTGTGGCACCTGCTGGAGAGTAAAAAGGGTGAGGCTGCTGGGACCAGGGGAGGGCTGGCAGCCTGCCACTGTAGTGGATTATGGTGGAAGAGATTTTCAACTGGGGCACCTCCAACACAGAAAGTTAGGCTTGAGGAGTTGGCCTCACCTCTTGCCCTCACTACCTGGCAGTGTTGAGGACTTGTGCATTCTGGACACCACCAGCATCTCTTAATACCCTGGGTGGTTACTGTGAACCCTGGATGATTTGCCCACTCTGGGTTCAATGGTAAATTGAACCATACTAAGGTACCAGTCCCCCAAATTCTGATTCCATCCATCTGAGTTGGGGCCTAAGTTTCTGGCTGTGTGCATGTAGATGTTGGCACATAACTACAAATATACATGTTGGGGCTAATCTTGGTTGTCAACTTGACATATGGGAAGAGGGAATCTCAGTTGAGGAATTTTTCCCAAATCACGTTGGCCTGTGGTCAGTCTAAGGTATTTTCCTAATTGCTAATTGAATGTGGGAGGGCCCCATCCCTGGGAAGGTGGGCTTGGTCAGAGTAAGAAATGTAGCTGAGCAAGTCAGTAAGCAGCCTTCCTCCCTGGTCTCTGTTTCTGTTCTGCCTCCAGCTTCCTGCCTTGGTTTCCCTTGAGATGGACCGTCTCCTGTAAACAAAATAAACCCCTTCCTCCCAGGTTGCTTTTGGTCATGGTGTTTATCACAGCAACAGAAAGCAAGTAGAACAATACGTTTGCATACTTAAAACTCATTTTGAAACACTGCTGCTGTAAGATAGCTGAGCCCGGAGCTCTGGCCTACCTAGGATACCTGAGGACTTGGGCTCCATCCGCAGCTGAAACAAACAAAAATGCTGCAGAGGAGCTACCTGCTGGTTGTGCAGTGTGATAGAATATGTGAATTTCAGGAGAGCCATAAGCTTCATTAGAGGAGGCCATAAAGACATAAATTCCTTAGAGTGGCTAACTGGCCCTAAACTGGCAGCCTAGCCTTGCTCAAGTCTGGCCATGCTCAAGCCTTATCAACTGGTCATTCCCTGGACTGAGACAGACTGTGGAGCCCACCTGTCTCCTTTAGGGCTATAGATAACTCACCCTTCTGCCTGAGCAAATAATTTTCAGAAAAGAGACCCTCAAGGACACAGGACCCTGGCATGGAGTTAACTCTTGCAGCTGTCCAGCAGAGCTCCTATATAAGAGCAGATTGCTCCCTGTTCAGAGCACAGATAATCATTCCCCGTAAAACAGCTTTTAACAGCCCCTTGCTGGGCTTCCTGAATCCAGGGAGCACATTCTTTGCCTGTAGCAGGTCTGGCTCTGACTCTTCTTTCTAAATTTTAAACTCCTTCCTTTTTCTGCCCTCCTAAATATAACACTGTTGAGGGACTTTTTCCTTGTTGACACCTCCCACATTTGTTACAGGCTTCAACCTAACCTCTTTCTCTTCATGGCCATTATTTTCATTATTCTTTCTCCAAACTATGTCAACTGCTTTTTGTTTTAGTATTTGAGACATCTTACTGTATTTCGAGGTCTCTGGCTCGGTCTCAGTTTTTGGGCTAAAGCCATGGTCCTGCCTCAGCTTCTGGAGACTGGAATCACAGGCACGTGCCTCCTCACCCAGCCCACCCGCTCTCTGTTGCTGTCAGCTTTGTCCTTCTCTGTCTCGTTAGGTGTGTTGGGGAAATGAGAAAACTGAAGCTGTAGCAGAGGCTTTAAATGACCTTTAAAAAATTATTATTTAAAATCAAGGAAGCAGCAAGGATTGGTGGCTCCTGTATGCAACTCTAGGACTTGGGAGGCCGAGGCAGCAGGATCACCTAAATGAGGACAGGCTGGGATATAGACTGACACCATGCCTCAAAATAAATATAAAACAAATAAAAAATAAACTAAAATTTAGGAACCTGTTTGTTCACTTAGGGAGACTTGGAAGGACTGCAGTAAAAAGTCAGCCTTCATTTCTCCCTGGCTCCCCTCCCTGATCCACACCAGGCACAAGTGAGGGGTGAAAGTCTTGGCCTCCATCTGCAGGGTTCACAGAGGGTCAACAGTTCATCTCTCCAAGAAGAAGAGGAAAAGACACAGGGAACAGCCTGAGGTCATTTCCTCACAAGTGCTCTCAACTCAAAAATCTTGTTCCCTCTGTGGGACTTCACTGCCATGACTCACAGCAAGATGCCAGCCCAGAGCCCTGTGGGCTACAGTGGCCACAGAGGAGCTGAGACTCTGGCAGGGCTGGGGTTACAGCAGAGGTTGGGTCAGGGGGACTAGACTGACCATTTTGGACATCACTGGAACTCCCAGGTCTCATTTCCATGTGCTGAAGGCTGGCATAGAGAGACCCTTCCCTGGAGTCAGTAGGGAGTCAGGAAGCATAACTGCAAAAGAGTGACCCCGGACACTTGGACAGTGGGGCCCATGTGCAAAACTTAGTGCTAAACTCACCCCTAGGCAGTAAATTTTTGTGGTTGGTTATTGTGGATTTTTGTTGGTTTTTTGAAGAAGGATCTCCTATAATCTAGACTGATGTTGAACTTCCTATATAGCTAAGGATGACCTTGAATTCCTGATTCAACAGACTCCACCTCCCAAACGCTTGGATCCCAAGTATGTATCATCATGCCAGCTCTATGCATTAACTCTTCATTCTAAACATCACCCCTAAGAGGGGGCTTCTCTAGCTATTATCATTTCACACAGGAGAAAACAGACATAGCAAGTTGGCTCTCACAGGGAGAAAGAACAGAGCTGGGGTTGCACACATTTCACCCCTGTCTGTCATAGTCCCCCATGTGGTAAGTGGCAGCTCTGATGGCAAAGATAGTTTCAGAACCACATTAAAAATGCTGGAGGTCTAGATCTATCTATCCAGATAGATCCAGAGTGGCCAGGCAGAGGGTGGCTGGGGCACCTCTGCAGAAGGTAGTCAGAGCTGGCAGAGGCCTAGCTGAGCAGTGAGGCTCAGTTCCAGTGACCTTTTCAGAGGTGTAATGAAAGGTACACAGGGACCTCCTTGAGGGGGCCCTGGATTCCAAGTCTTGGGATCTGTAGTCTGCCAGATCTAAGAAGGAACACTACAAAAAAGGCAGGGCTTTGGGAAGCATCAAGAGGCAATTAAGGGGGTCAGGAAGGTGGCCCAGTCAGTAAATGTCAGCCTCATAAGCCTGAGGACTTGAGTTCAGATCCCTAGAACACATGTAAAACTCCAGGCAATGTGCCTGTAATCTCAGCAATGGGAGAAGAGAGACAGAGACAGGTGGATTCCTGGAAGCTTTTGGGATGACTAGCTGTGGAGAAGTTTCAGCCCAAGCAAGGGGGAAGGTGCCTGAGGACCAACACCCAGGATTGTCTTCTGACCTCCACACCAGGGCACCATGCACACATGCACCCAAACCCACACAAAGACACACCACAAAATAAGGATGACGGGAATACAGAAGCTTAGAGGATTGGGAGGAAGGAGCTGAGACACAGCTGTGCTGAGGACTCTACAGCCTTGTCCTACAGACAAAGCCATGGTGACCTCCATCTTCTGAAGCTCCTGGGTTTTCACCTCTCCCAAGGGCAGCCTAACCTTACTCTCCCTGACTCTCAATGAGTTTTGGAGCTATTGTATAAGATTGTCCTCTGACAGATGCCTTCTTCCCAAGTTCCTCTGTACCTGTTTGCTTGCCTGTTCACACCCAGCTTCCAGGAGAGTCAAGGGACCCTCCCAACTCATGATTTGCCATTAGGTTCTAATTGCTACTGGCCTGGGGGAGGAGCTAGCGTATATAGGTGGGAGGAAACAAGGGGAGATGCTCTCCTGCCATTTTGTATGGATATGGAGAAGCCACCATCCATGGTGGATGTAGACATCCCAGTGAGGCTTTCAT